AGGGGGGGGGCTGTGACGCGTCCGCCCTGCCCCCCCCCGCGCAGGGGCGCTTCAGGAGGAGGCGGCAGACTCGCCCCGCCATCCATCACCGGCGGAGTTTGCGCAATTAGATGATTAAAGACGCTTTTTATAATATTTGGAAGAGGCTTTGAAAGGTCTCTGGGACCGTGTGATTGATGCCGGCTTAACCCCTTCCTGTCCAGGCTCGGCCGTCGCCTCCGCGGGGGTCCCGGGGCCGCTGCCCCAGCTCTGTTCCCCTTGGCTCCGGCGGGCGGTTGCTCCCTGACAAGGTGTGATTCATGGGCACCTGCAGGAAGCGCAGGCCCCCCGGCTGTTCCGAGCCCAACGGGGCCTTGGTGGTTTCTGAGGCTTCAACGGCTCAAGCGCTCAGGAAGTGTGTCTCCCGAAGCTGCTCTGCACCCGGCTCCGCGCACCGGCTCACACTCCTGCTCACGCACGGGCCTGCTTCCGCGCCAGGCACCCACGCAGGGCCCGGCACACGCACAAATGGGCGGAGAGGAAGGCCTGACTCTGTGGGCTCTTAGCAGGGTAACACCGGCTTAACCGCACACGTCGCTCTCCCCCGAGTTTCATGAGCTCCCTGCCTGCCTGCCGCAGTTTGCCGCCAGCCCAGCTATCTGATGGCACTGCTAAACAATGTTCCCTCTAATCTTTCCAACCATGGGTGGATTTTTTCATCTGCAGAATAAATTTTGTTACGTGCGCCGGGGCATGCACAGATGTGCACCACCAGGAGAAACACAAACCTAGCTGTGGGCGCTCTGCTCATCAGCTACCTCTCCTGAGCAGCTGCACAAGTGTCCGGCTTACAGGGAACACAGCTGCTAAGGTGCCATCACCGTGACATCTCTTTAGTCTCGGAGGGATTTGCTCAGTGATTTTCACAGGCACAAATACCAGCGGGGCACCTGTGAGGGTCATTGGGATCCGTGAGTCGGGGAGAGTCCCGCTTCGGGTTTAGTTACCCTCAAGTCCCATATGTGAAGCCGCCAGGGGTTCCCCGGTAGGCACAGTGGATAGCTAGGGAACCTTTTCAGAATATCTGAGGTCAATGGTTATTTATTCCAACATGGGCGTGGCCCTCCCACCTCCAGCTTGAGAGCTAAACCCTTCTCCTGCGGTCAGTCGCAATGTTTCGTAATCTCCATTTCTTGTCAATTGATTGCCAGATAGAAGCGACAGCCAAAGAGGGCCACAACCGTCTGCCAGCTCCACCCACCGCTTGGTTTTAACTCTGCCCCTCTGTAAGTTCTTACTATTTTATTCTTCTTGTTGTTGTTGTTGGGAAAGAAAGAAAGAAAGAAAGAAAGAAAGAAAGAAAGAAAGAAAGAAAGAAAGAAAGAAAGAAAGAAAGAAAGTAACTTACTTATTTCCTGGTAGTACTTCCATTTATAAATAGCTTATAAGGGGTTAACAATGATTAATAGATGTTTTAATTAATGGTTAATCTATCGTTAGAGAGTCCAAGAGGTTACAGGTTTATTATAATCACAGCTTATCACTCACTATGGCACCTTCTCCTCATTTGCTTATAGCACATGCTACTCATATCTGTAACGTGCCTGCGATATCATTTTTAACCCTCTGTAAACCGCTCACCGAGGGCACCGTAATGAAAGCAGGATCAAAATCCACGTCTGGCTGGAATCTCAGAACCCCTCCAAATGGCGGGGCGGGAGTGTGTGACTAATTTTAGCTTTGCCTCAAGTGAATGGGTAGACCAGGGAAGCAGAAAGACAGCTGTGGAAATCCCTCAGAATGGCATACTCTGGTGCCACGTGCTTTGGTGCCACGCGCTCTGGTGCCACATGCTTTGGTGCCATGTGCTCTGGTGCCACGCACTCCGATGCCACGTGCGTTGGTGCCACGCACTCTGATGCCACGTGCTCTGATGCCACGTGCGGGCACAAATACAGAGGGATTCAACACTGCGCTTCTGTTCACTTCATAATAGCCCAGCCCTCTGGCACACGCGTTTGCTTCCTGGGGCCCCCTCTCAGCATCTCTCCTCCAGCCAGGGATGGCCCCAGCCAGGAAGCAGGGCTGGAATGGCTGCCCCAGGTTGCGCGAGGAGCAGCCCGGCTCTCCAGTGCACAGAGCCAGCACCCGGAACTGGCTTCCTTCGTGTATTCCTGTCCCTGCACCTTCCCCCCGGAGCGCTAATGGGGAGCCCGTTAGCTCCCCCGCCCGCCGGTGCTCACTGGGTTCTCTGGAGCCCGAAGGTCCCAGGAATTTAAATCGGTGCTGGAGCACCGGAAATGCAGATTCCCTGCCTTGGCTGGGGTTGGTGCAGGAAGCGGGTGTAGCCATGGGGTCCTGACGCGCCCCCGACTGCCCTGCCCTCAGCCGCGGCTCCCTGCAGGGATGTGCTGGGTGCCGCAAGCAGGGGCACTGGGGGCGTATCACAGGTGAGGTTAGGCATTTGGGTCGCAAGGCCGGAACATCCCATCGCGGACCAGTGGTCCATCTACACTGTCTTTCCCCTTGGTGCACAGGGACGGAGCCGGCGGGTCCAACATCCCTCTCCTGCTGTTGCGGATGGAGCCGGGAGATGAGGATGCCCAGTGCTTCCCAGGGCCAGGTCCGCAGTCGGGATGTAAACGAGTTGCCGAATAGTCGATGGCCCGATAAGCCTAGTCGACTATTTGCATCCTCCCCCTTGCTGCCTCTGTATCAGAGGCAGCAAGCGATGGGGAGAGAACAGGAACTGGTGCTGGGGGGAGCCGGCTTAAAAGCTGCGCCCGTCTCCACCCTGCCCCAGCTGCGCACCTGGCTCCTACTACATTTAAACAGCAGAGCCGCTGCGGAGACAGCAAACACTCCCCCACTGGCCGCTCAGTGAATTGCAATTTAACATCCCCAGTTCAAAGTGAGGTGCAAGCATCTCCTAGTCGCCTCCACGGGTTCACTCTGAACCCTAATGATGGCGCCTTACCCAGGTCTGTCTCGTGGCCTATGTGTCCAGCGAAGGCGAGAGAGGAGACGAAGCGCTGCACTGACATCTGTAACAACTCTGCTCGCATTAGCAGAAACATTCAGCGACTCGGAGACGGTGGGCGGAGTTTGGGATTTGGGGGTGGAGCTTGTGTTTCCCCCTCCACACGGACCCCTGCTGCGTGAACTGAGGAAGGGCACCGAGAGCCGCTCTCCCGAGTGTCGGGGCTGAGCGCTCCTCCTGGGGGGAGGCAGCTTTGTCCCTGGAGCAGCCGGGATAGGGACCATGTGTGGAACGCAGTGACCGAGGTGCCACGGTGCCGCGTGATGAATGGTGAAGGACCCACGCACAGGAGTCCCTGCCCCCACGGCCGTCTCCCTCCCTCTGCAGCTGGGAAGAAGTGGGGTGGGAGAAAGCCCAGGTCCCAAGCCAACCTTTGGCACATTTATTGACACTCCCTGAGTTCATACCTCAACTCTACAATCTTTCCCCGAGATTATTAAAAATTAATTGATCTCTTTTATATCCCCTCGGCTACCCAATGCCGCTCCGAGCCGGGCAGCCGGGGGAGGAAAAAGTGGGGGGGAGGGGAAGAGGGCTGCGTAAAAAACACACTGATAAATGTTAATTACTCTTTTACGGCCCTTGTCAAATTCCAAAGCAAGTCGTAAATTCATTAAACTCTAACGGATTAAGCACATGCAGCTTATTTAGTCACCATAAACAAGATCATTTGGATGTTGATTTTTCCTTTTTTATTGCTCCGGCAGAAAAGGGGGGGGGGAATAGAGCCGGGGAACAATTGGTCAGTTACTAGGGAGTCTGAGAAGTCTGGGTGTTATGAGTACCTGGCTGCTCTCTGTATTACAGTAGCACAGCCCCAACCGGAGCTGTCTGGGTGGGGGGCTGTGCATGCCCGGAGAGGGAGGGTCCATGCCCCCAAATAGCTTACAGCCTGCATAGGCCAGGCAGAAGGGAATCTGGCCGTCGTGATGCCCGGAGCTACTCGATGCTGAGGGGCAGGCAGGGTCTGGTGAGAGAGGGCGCAAGAAATCCCCTTACTGGGATCCCCTCCCCCATCCCCGTTCCGTTTCAGGGTGACTTGTGCCTGGATGGGCCGACCTGGCCCGTGCGTGTTAGGAGCTGCCCCGGGCGACTCTGCCAGGGGTCTGCGCTCAGCTTGCTCTGCATGGGCTGCCGCTGAGCTAGCGGTGTCCGTGAAACATTCTCCATGCCGACCAGGGCCGTACTGGGCCCAACAGCGCACCCACTCCAGAGACAAGCGGGGCTGCCGCCCTCCCCATGTCCGGCCACGGGGGGCAAGGAGTGCCTGGGGAGCTGAGGAGTTATCCTGTGCCCAGGGCTCCCCACCATGGCTATAGGAAGGCCCCAGAACCATTTAGCCTCTAGACATGGCTGCTCTATATCTGCTCCCTGCCAGGCCTGGTGCTGTTAACTAGTGCTCCCTGGAAGCCAGGCACTTGTGCAGCTGCACCGGAGAAATTCCAGTGCCGCCCTGCTGATTAGCAAAGGTTTGTGTTTCTCTGGGTGGTGCACTTTCCCGCATGCCTCAGTGCACAGAACAAAATTTATTCCACACAACCATGGCAAAAATCCGCCCCCGGTTGGAAAAGGTTGGCAGGAACATGGCTGGTAACGGGGAGGGATTTTTAAAGCTCAGAGTGACTTTGTCGCCTGGCCATTTCCAGCTGATCCAAAGATGTAGGGCCCTTTTGCGTAAGAGCTTCACTTTTAATGGCGATCCTGGTTAGCAGTGGGGAGAGGCTCTGTCTGCCTCACGCCCAGCCGTCCCTTCGTCCTGCCTCCTGGCTGCCCGTCTCCCTGGCCTGAGCTCATCCAGGGGCTGGCTGCTGGGGAATTGATCGGAATGGGAATTGTCCCATTAGGAATGCGGGCCTGTCCCAGCCAGATCTGTCCGCTGTTGGAAAGGCCACGCGAAGGCTCTTTCCACCGCGTTTAGTCTGGCAAAAGCCTCCCGCTCGGCGCGGGCCGGCAGGGGTTAACAGGAAGCACATGCCCCATGCGAAGCAGTAGCTAACAGCCACTAGCTAATAACTTTATGGCTTCAAAGCAAGGCATTTATCATGCGGGAGTTTGTTTATGCACTAGTTATATGGCACATTAGACCCGATCTGTGTTGGGCTGATAAATTCTCGATGACAAGCAAGGCTACCGGGGGGACTTGCCGAGTCCAAAAGACCAGTAGCTTTTTCCTGAACTCTGCTTTGCGAGATAAGGGCTGGTTTTTTCCCCGCTTTTGTTTTGTACGGAGGGGGAGAGAAATCTAAACCAAAATGACCTCCGACAACCTGTAAACCAGACCCAAAAGTGAGGGGTTTTTTAGCCATACAACATCCAGGCTGGGGGGGCTTTGGGGCGGTGGGGGGCAGAGCAAGGTCGGTCGGCTGGGTCTGACTTTGGAGACTGATCTTGGGCGATCACCTCTGTGCCGGAAGGGTCTGAGTTTGGTGCCCACTCTGGGTGGGGGGCGTTCTCGGCGTGGACCCAGCTGGGCCTCTCCTGTGCCCATCTCTAGTGGGGGTGCCACCCCGTGGAAGTTAACGTCCCCCAGCCCTCGTGTTATTACTCCTAGGTGTCGTAGCTGCACCTTTGGGGGGGGCTGTTGCGGGGTACAGTGGAGCTGCCGGCTTCTCCTGCACCCCTGCTGCGTTGCAGCTCGTTATGGGATCGTGACGTGCATGGCTGTTGTAACAAAGCTGTGTCGATTGCAAGCACCAGCCCACATCAGAAACTACAGTGAACTCCGCCTCCTGGCCCTCTAAAATGATGGGGGGGACAGTTTTATTCTCCCCATTATATTTATGGGAAAACTGAGGGATAAAGAGAGGTCATCACCTGCCCAAAGATCCTGTGTGAATCCCTGGCAGAGTAGAGCCCCGGGCTCCTTGCTCTAACCACTAGACAATGCTCCTGTGTTGAAGATACCGTGAGTCGGCTAGGGGCTCTGCGAACCAAATGAAATTAATGGGTAGTAGGTTTAAAACTAATAAAAGAAAGTTCTTCTTCACACAGCGTGTAGTCAACCTGTGGAACTCCTTGCCAGAGGAGGCTGTGAAGGCTAGGACTAGAACAGAGTTTAAAGAGAAGCTAGATAATTTCATGGAGGTTAGGTCCATAAAAGGCTATTAGCCAGGGGATAAAATGGTGTCCTTGGCCTCTGTTTGTCAGAGGCTGGAGAAAGATGGCAGGAGACAAATCACTTGATTGTGTCTTCGGTCCACCCTCTCTGGGGCACCTGGTGCTGGCCACTGTCGGCAGACAGGATAC